GGCCCCTAGCCCAGTTAACCAAAAGAAAGAAAGAGCAAATCCAAATCAACAAAATTAGATGTGAAAGGGGAAACATCACAACAGACACCCAAAAGATCCAGACCATTACAAGTGAATATTTTAAAGATCTATACTCTACTAAATGTGAAAACCTAAAATAAATGGATGGATATCTAAAATTATGGGAATCACCAAAGTTAAACCAAGAAGAGATCAACAGTTTAAACAGACTCGTAACATATAAGGAAATCAAAACAGTAACACAAAGCCTCCCAAGTAAAGAAAACACAGACCAAGATGGGTTTACAGCAGAATTCTACCAGACATTTAAAGAAGACCTCTAACCAATACTACTTAAGTTATTCAAAGCGATAGAAACAGAGGGAGAACTCCCAAATTCCTTCTATGAAGCCAGCATCACTCACTCTAATACCCAAACTGAGTAAAGACACAACCAAAAAATAAAACTATAGACCCTTATCCTTAGTGAACATAGGTGCAAAAATTCTCAACAAAATACTCACAAACCACATACAGATGTACATCACAAAGATCATTCAGCATGATCAAGTAGGCTTTATTCCAGAGATGCAGGGATAGTTCAATATATGAAAATCAATAAACATCATTAATCATATCAATGGACTCAAAGACAAAAACTACATCATCATCTCAAGAGATGCAAAAAGGCGTTTGACAAAATTCAGCATTCATTTATAGTCAAAGTCTTAGAACAAATTGGACTAGAGGGAACATACCTCAACATAATTAAAGCTATATACACAAACCCACAGCTAACATCATTCTAAATGGAGAAAAACTGGAAGCATTCCCATTAAAATCAGGAACCAGACAAGGATGTCCACTATCTCCACTTCTCTTTAACATAGTACTTGAAACACTTGCTAGAGCAATAAGACAGGAGAAGGAAATTAAAGGAGCATTGATTGGAAAAGAAGAGTCAAGCATCCCTTTTTGCAGATGATATGAAACTATACCTAAGAGATCCCCCCCCCAAAAAAATCTTTAAATTCATATGGAAGCACAAAAGACCCCAGATAGACAAAGCAACCCTGAGCACAAAGAACAATGCTAGGGGGATTACTATACCAGATCTCAAAGTAAACTACAGAGCTATAGTAATAAAAACAGCATGGTATTGGCACAAAAATAGACACATAGATCAATCAGACTGGCTAGGATTAAGAGAACAAATGATACCAAATGCTGGCAAGGACATGGAGAAAGGTGAATGCTCATTCACTACTGTGGGATTACAAACTCATGTAACCCCTATGGAAAAGAGTGTGGAGAACTCTTAAAAAAAAGAAAAATGAGGAGGAACCCAATAGAGGGATGCTTATTCCAGTGGACTCTCATATAAAAATTTGAAATTTGCCCTGTTCTGACTTTTTCCTAGTTCCCTGTCTGGAACTTGTAATGCTAATTACTCTTGCCTTTACATCTCCTTCACATCTATTCACCAGTCAAGGATTTTCTTTTCCTCCTACAGATAAGAGTTATGCAATTAGGGAGTCTTTTAGATAGACCCCCTGAAAGGGTACTCCAATTGCCTCATCCTGCATCTCTGTTCAGCATGGAAGAACCCAGAGCAGTCTGCATCCCGATTCCCTATCAGCAATCTGGGTAGCCTCTTCAAAGGATGGTGTGATAAGACTAGGAGGTAGGAATTGGCTAGGCAGTCAGGGTAAAGATCCGCCCCCCCAAAATGGCCAGCTTCCTGGCTAAAAATCAAAATGACCTTGCACCTCTCAGCAACATACTCCATTCCAAAGGCCAAAAACGTTGAAAGTATTTGGGAGCATTTATCTAATCCTTCAAAGGTTTTAGGGTTACCTCTTCAGAGGGCAGAATGTTAGAGTAGCAAAAAGCCCCATAAAATAAAAAGAAGAAAGAGTACATGAAGTTATCAGAAAAAAGTGATGGGGAGATATGGGAAGCACTGGAGGGGAGGGAAGGGGCATGGATTTGATCAAAACACCTTATATGCATGTATGAAATTCTCAATAAATTATTAAAAATATTGATACAGTTTCAATTCTTCCTTTTAGAAGCATATTTTAATATTTTGAACTTTCTTCACAGAGTCCCTGCTTCCGGCTCATATTGAATCTTTTTACCTATGTTTTGGCTTAATATTATAATGACTGACATTTTATCCATTATGTTTCTAAAGTAGGTAAGAGAGATTTTATGACCAACTAAGCTGTATGCATATGAAATGCCTGAATTCATGCCTGAATAGGTGCTCATGGCTCACATACCCATACCCAGATATTTTAACAGCAGTTCTCCTATTTGAATTTTTTCTTGTTGTTATTACTGCTATACTAATATATGAAGCATATCTGAATGGTCATTAAATACAGGGGAACTAAAGTCAGTTTAACTTGTAAATAATTTGATAAAGTGAAAAATTGTGAACAAGAATATTGAAAGGCAGCTTACTATACAAATCTCAGCTGCAATCAGCTGTGGGTTTTCAGGAAAGACACTTTGTCTCTTGTGAATCTGAGTTCTTCATTTGTCCCTAGGAAGTGTGTATGAATAATTTATTAAAAACATGAAGTCTAAGCCGGGCATGGTGGCACACGCCTTTAAGCCCAGCATTTGGGAGGCAGAGGCAGGCAGATTTCTGTGAGTTCGAGACCAGCCTGGTCTACATAGTGAGTTCCAGGACAGCTGGGGGGCTGCAGGGAGACCCTGTCTCAAAATGACCAAAAAAAAAAAAAAATGAATTCTAGGCAGAGTGTATAAATATTCAACCTCAGTATTAATCAAAGAAATGGAGTTTAAAATTCATTTTTTTGTGATACTAAGACAAGTTCAAATGCTGCTCAGTCTTAAGAAATTATGTAGTCTTTTGGGAAGGTAGCATTACAAAGATATTAAGGGTTTTAAAATTATTACAGCAAACACAATTTTATAAGGCCAGTTTTAAATGTAAAAGAACTATGACTCTAAGAGATTTATAAACAAAAATTTCATCATTATAGTATTTCTAACAACTAGTAAAAATAAAACAACCTAAATTAATGTTTAAAACTGTAGCTCTTCCAGGTAACAGAATCTTACAGATACTTAAGTGAACTTTCTGAAATTTAGGTAATAATGAGATGAAATTTCATTATCTCATTTGGAGACTAAAAAGATTCGTCAAAGACATTCATTGTGAATAAATATGCTATGCTTTTTTTTTTTTTTTTTCTTTTCAGACAGGGGCTCCCTGTAGCCCCAGCTGTCCTGGATTCACTATGGAGACCAGGCTGGCCTCAACTCACAGAGATCCGCCTGCCTCTGCCTCCCAAGTGCTGGGATTAAAGGCATGCGCCACCACGCCCGGCATAAATATGCATTTTATGGCCACCTGTGTGTACTAAAATGATTTTAGAGTTTTATTCTCTTTGAAATACAAATTTTGTTAAAATGCAGGTTTTTGGTTTTTGTTTTTTTGCCATGGTTTAGAAAACAGAAACAGTCCAGAAAAATAAATTTCAGCTGACAAAGTGACAGGAAGGGTTCTTTTCACAAATTAATTGTTATTAACTTGACTTTATCATTAGAGTCAAAGACTTTTCTTTCCTATCTTTCTCTTTCTTCTTTTTCTTTTTTTCAGAAGAAAAGACGTGACAGTTTTAAAAGGATAAAAAGAGGAGGAAGGGGGGGGCAGAATGAACGAATCAGATGTAGAAACAGATGCAAAGATGTCCAATATTTAACAGACACCAAATACTTGTTTGAGTATGTTTAAGGTATAAAAAGTAAACTTCAAGTATTTGAGGCACTCGCAGTGTAATGTTAAAGTTAAAAGCCCCACAGGCTTATGAATTGTAACATTTGTTTCCCAGCTGGTGGTGCTGTCTGGAGAGGTCATGGAACCCTCAAAGGGTGGAGCTTTTCTGGAGGAAGCATGTCACCAGGACAGACTCTGATAGCTTACAGTCTCAGCTGCCCCACTTCATGGTCTCTCTCTGCTTCTTGTGAGCACATAAACGGCTCAGTCACATTCCTGCCCCTACTGGCAGGTCTTCCTGATGTAGTAAAAGGAGTATTTAAAGAAAATATAGATTGTAATCCCTGTGTTTGCCCTCTGTCCCCGTCAGCAAATTTCAGCTGACAGGTTTGTGGTTAGAACACTAACAGCTGGCTAGAACCACTGGCCTTGTGTCCTGATGAAATCCCCACTTCTGGTTGTTTCAGATGGAGACTTCTGTACTGATTTTCAGACAGAGGATTTTTTTTTTAACATTTCTTTTCTTTTCTAAATTTATAATAATCTGCCTGGTGTTAAGACTTTTGCCGTTAACTGATCAGATACAGGTTTCCTTCTCACTTTAAAGTATAAAGGATAATGTTTCCTCCTTTCAGGGTCCAGATCTTGAGTCTTAAGTCCTCTGGACCAGGCTGCAGTCCAAATAAACCTGCTTCTTCCTTCTGTGCCCACAACATTTCCACCATGAGGGCTCTATCCTTTAGGAACCAAAGGCTAAAAATAAAACCTTTCTTCTTTAAATTGCTTTTGATCATATTATTTTATCTCAGTAATAAAAAGAGATACATAACAATAATAAAAGCACAAGAAATTGAGAGGGAGGCAGAGTGGGGATTGGTCTTGTTGGGGCTGGAGAGAGAGAAGGAATGATGGACATGAAGCAAGGACAGTACTCATCTATGACATTCTCAGAATGATTTTAATATGAGTCAGGTTTCTAAGCCAAGAAAACTAGCTCAGTAGTTACAGGGAAGAACTGAGGGTGGACGGAAGGACACGAAGAGCTTAACCAGACATAGTTTAAGTTTAAAGCCATTCTTCAGCACAAGAGAATAAGTTACAGAGACGTTCTCAAACGGTATCCAAGAGTGACATTTGGGATAAACTAGATAAAATTAAGCTTATATTAAACATAAACACCATCATATTACCCCACACACTCACACCAGAGAAGTTTATTGCATACCAACTCTATTTTGAGAATTACCTTTCACTGACTTGCTCTGTTACGTCGTCAATTTCAGCTAAAAGCCTTTTATTTTCTTCTCTGAGTGCCAGATAAACTGTTGAAACAGCTGTCAAGTCCTTTGAAACATCGGCAAGCTCAATATCCCATGATTTTTTCTTGGTAAATTTAAAGTTTAGAGGTGAATAAAATTACTTTTAATTATTCAAGTTAACATTCAAAAACAGTGTATTGGGAGCAAAGGCACATTCCACTTACTGCAACATAATAATTATTGAGTGCTTCTAAGTACTTCTTTTCAAGGTTTTTCTGCTTCCAGGAATATTGGTCAAACATCCTCTTCAGATCATCTGCCTAAAAATGTGCACACAAAATAAGTGAACTAAGGAGAGTTCCTTCATTTTGTAAGACATAAGTTGCATTTTGCTTCATGCAGCTTCCAAAACTCAAATACTGACACGGCATAAGATAACATGGTAGGTGTCTGCCATTGTGAAAGCTGATAGAGGATTCTGATAAAACATAATGCACGGGGTATCAATCAAGTCTAGTGTTTATAATATTCAAATGAATAATCATTACAAAGCAGAATGTATGTCAGCTGTGGAAAAGAATTTTGAAGCATTAAGAAAATTTTGAATAGTAATTCATTACATTGATAAACAAAAGGAAAAAATTAACATGAATGTCCACACTTTACAAAATAACTATTTGAGGGACTGGCTCAGTGGTTAAGAACACTAACTGTTCTTGCAGAGGACCTGGGTTTGATTCCTAGCACCCACATGGTGGCTAACAAATGTCTGTAGTTCCAATTCCAGGGATCTGATGCCCTCTTCTGACCTCTGCAGGCATTGTGTGACATGGGTGCACTTATACACATGCAGGGAATGCACTCATACACATAAAATAATAATAATAAATAAAATAACCATTTGATAAATTCAATACTTATTTCCCAGTTTTACAGTTTCCTATAGTTTTTGAAACTAACAAAAGCAAAGTTTAAATGCATAGGATGAACACATATCTCAACATACTTTCAAGTGTTGAACTGGCACTTGTTAAACTTAAATGCTGGCGCTAGAGAGATAGCTCAGTAGCTAAGGGCATAGACTGCTCTAGCACAGGATTGAAGTTCGGTTCCAGTATCATATTCAGCAGCTCAAAACTGCTTGGAACTCCGGCTCCAGGGGATCTTATGCCCTCTTCTGGACTCCCCAAAGGCACCTGCATGCACAGGTGCCCCCCATACATAATTAAAAGCAAAATAAAACTTAAAAAGCAAAAAACTTTAAAGTCATATTATCTTTTATCACCATTATAATTAAACATGTTTTATGAAAGACTAGTTAATAAAAAATAATAATAAATCCAACTGTTGTTGTTATATTACTGACATTTAATAGATAATGCACCTTCATGTTCAGATGCTTATATAGAAATAGAACATCTTCTCCAAAACTACAATATTCCATATCCTGTTCTCCTTCTAGGCCTGGGCACTGGCCCACTCCTGCTCTTAGCACCCTAGATCTCTGGACTACCCTCTTAGCCCAGATCTGACCACTGGGCCCTGAACCCTTGCACCCAGAACAGTTCAATTCTTCAGTCTAGTTTCTTAGAGCTTCCATAGGCTGTCCCCACCCCCAACCTGCCTTTGCACACCTGAGACCAACCTTCTATCCTGGCTGTCACCAGCCCCAACTTGTTTGGGACTCCAGAGACCAGCCTTCTCCCTTGGGAAGTCTAATCCCACCCACTGCACCTTTATTCTCACAGTTTGAGCAAATTCAACCTCCCATCCATCACATCCTGTTCTCCTTCTAGCCTTGGGCACAGGCCCACTTTAACTCTCAGCACCCCAGATCTCTGGTCTACCCTCTCAGTCCAGGTCCACTGACAACATTCTGACCCCATACACTAAGACCTACTCAATTCTTCAGTCTAGTTTCTTAGAGCCTCCATAGGCTGTCCCCACCCCAACTTGCCTTTGGACTCTTGAGAACAGCCTCTATCCTGGCTGTCCCCACCCCCAATTTGCCTGGGATTCCTGAGATGAGCCTTCTTCCCTGGTAAATCTGATCCTGCCCAGTGTGCCTTGATTCCCACAACCTGAGAAAATTCTCTCTCCCAGCCCCTACATCCTGTTCACCTAGCTTTGGGTTCCCCCTCCCACTTCTATTCTTAGCACCCCAAATCTCTGGCCTACCCTCTTAACTCTGCAAGGCAGTGAGGTTTCCAAATCATGCCTTGCACATCCCCCTACATTGGGACTGTCTACAGCCCCTCCCACTGCTGCAGCATTAGGCTTCTCTGACCTTTAGTAGGAGCTCAGACTTTTGTAGACTGCCAGAAATTGCCTGAATCCAACCTCCACCTTGTAATCTTCCCGAATTGTAATATGCCTGCTGACTACAGGGACCCAGATCTTAGGAGAAAGCCTGAGAGCATCTGATCCTCATCTGACCTGGGCCTCTGCAGGAACTCTTGTATACCCGGACTACAGCCATCTGGCCCCTTCAATATAAAATCAAAGGAGAGAACCTGAAGCCTAGACCAACCAGCTTTTCACACCCAATAAGAAAACAACAAAGGAATATCAATGTACAAACAGAAACAGACTTAAACTCAACAAAGGAAGGCTTGAGTCTCACACCAGAATCAGAAACAACAAAAGAAATCCACATACCAAAATCACAATGAAAAAAACTGATAACATGAAAAACCCAAAGAATATGTTCCTACCAAGCACCAACAGTCCTGTAGAGGAGTTCTTCAATGAGAACACCCTGAAGATATCCCAGGACACACAATTCAAAATAATTATAAACATGATAGCAAAGAATTCAATGAATTTAAAGAACACACAAAGAAAAAACTAAAAGAAGATAGGGATAACCTTCTGCCTGAATTCACAAAAGAGTTAGAAACATTGAAGAATACTCAGGCTGAAATGAAGAAGGAAGTGAAAGACTCAGTAAGCCTAGAATCAACAATAGGATGCATGAAATGGAAAACAGACTATCAAGACTGGCCGATAAACTGATCAACTAGACCACTCAAGCAAAGATTATGACAAGTTTCAGAAAACACAAGAATGGAATACGCAGGAAATGTGGGACACCATGAAAAGATTAAATTTACACATTATAGGCACAGAGGAAGGAGAAGAATCTCAGGATAATGGTATGGACCAGATCTTCAAACAATTATAGAAGAAAATTTCCTCAAGTTAAGAAAGACGTGCCCATACAAACATAAGAAGCACATAAAACACCAAATAGACAGGACCAGAAAAGAAACTCTCCACATCAGATCATAGTAAAAACATTAAACGTACAGAACAAAGAGAGAATACTGAAAGCTGCAAAAGAAAAACAACAAGTCATATATAAAGGAAAACCCATCAGAATTACAGCTGACCTTTCAGTACAAACTATGAAATCCAGAAGAGCCTAGAACAAAGTATTCCCAGTTCTAAATGCCCACAGATGCCAACCCAGAATACTATACCCAGCAAAAAATAATGTGTATTCTAGTAGAATTGGAAAGAAAAATCTACCACAACATTAATAGGCTGAAAGAATTCATTTCCACAAAACCAGCCCTTCAGAGAATTTTTGAAGCAATACAAAGAGCTGAAGAAAGGAATGACTATACCCAAGGGGCAACAGAAAGACCAAATAAATGTATAACTATGTAAATGCACAGTTAGACCAAGAATGTGAACAGAAATTAAAATGACAAGAATCAGTACACATCTTTCAATAATAACTTTAAATATCACCAGACTAAAATTCCTAGTCAAAAGGCACAAGTTAGTTGAATAAATTAAAAAATAAAATCCATCATTTTGCTGTCTGCAAGAAACCCATCTCACAGTCAAAGACAGGTACTACCATAAGGAGAAAGGTTGGAAAAAAATTATTCCAAACAAATGGTACTAAGAAAAAAGCAGGAGTTGCAATTCTAATATCTGACAAAATGGAGTTCAAACTAAAACTAGTCAGAAGAGTTAAAGAAGGCCACTTCATTCTGATCAAAGGAACAATTGACCAAGAAGATATTATAATCATGAACATATATGCACCAAACATATATGCACCAAACTCTGGTGCACCCAACTTCACAAAAACAGTATTATAGGACTTCAAGACACAGAAATTCACTAATAGTGGGGGAACTCAATACCCAACTGTCTCCAATAGACAGGTCAATGGGACAAAGAGTAAACAGAGAGACATCTGAATTAAAGGATACCATACATCAAATGGACCTAACAGACATTTACCGAATATTCTACCTAAGTACCAAAGAATATAATTTCTACTGAGAACCCGATGGGACTTTCTCCAAAATTGACCACATACAGGTCTAAAAAACAAGCCTCAACAAATATAAAATAATTGAAATAATTCCATGCATTCTATCAGACTACACCATAATAAAGCTTAAAATCAACACTGAAAGAAGTCCTAGAAGCTACATGACCTCATGGAGATTAAACAGTACACTCCTGAATTCTGAATGTGTCAAAGGAGAAATTAAGAAAGAAATAAAAGAATTCCTGGAATTAAACGAAAAGGACAACATAACACAATATACCTCTGGGACACTTTGAAACCAGTCCTAAGAGGGAAGTTTATAGCTCTAAGTGCCTACATTAAAAAAACAGATAGAACAAAAATAAATGACTTAACATTGCAAATCAAGACACTTGAAAGACAAAAAAAAAGGAAACCCAAACCCAGCATACAAGAAGAACTAATAAAAATCTGAACAGAAATTAATGAAATAGAAACAAAGAAAACAATACAAAGAATCAAAAGACAAACAAGATAGATAGACCCTTAGCCTAGTTAACCGAAAGAAAGAAAGAAAAACTCCAAATCAATAACATCAGAGATGAAAGGAGAAACACCAAACAGACAACAAAAAAATCCAGAGCATGGGGCTGAAGAGATGGCTCAGTGGTTAAGAGCACTGACTGTTCTAGCAGAGGACCCAGGTTCGATTCACAGCACCCACATGGCAGTTATGAACCGTACTTAACTCCAGTTCTATGGGAATAAGCCCTCTTTTAACCTCCACAGCACTGCACAACATGGGTGCATTCACATACATGCAGGCAATACAGTCATACACATAAAATAAAAATAATAAATGAAATATTTTTTTAAAAAGATCCAGAACATTATAAGGGAATACTTTAAAAACCTATACACTATTAAATTTGAAAATCTAAAAGAAATGGGTGTGTATGTAAAATCATGGGAATCACCAAAGCTAAACCAAGAAGAGATCAACAGCTTACACAGACCCATAACAGATAGGGAAATTGAAACAGTAAT